CTAGTACCCAACCAATGTTTCTGGCTGTGTAATAATTATCATACAATTGGCCACAATACTGTTTATCATATTTCCGCCAATCGCACTTACAATGGTACTATCCGGTGTGGATTTCGAAGCAACCACCTGCTACATTTCAAACGAAATTGCCCATACTAACTATATTACGCCACAAAGTGATCATTAAAATCAAAATTCCCACGCGTGGACAAAATCACAGCTTGCATACACCTGTTTCAGGGTTTTTGTTGTGGGGACAGAGAACACGCAATGTTCTGGCCGAGATTATTTTGTATTCCCACGGGCGTTATCAGAGGACGCTAAAACACCTAGATATTTTTATTGCATTGATGGGTGAACGAGCTTACAACCCATCTGATGTTAAGTGGATACCGGAGCCCATAGACATCTACAACGTTAGAACGTAAATGACCGCCTTAAGATATGAGTTCTAAGGTCTTAGTAAAACGGCTTTAAACCGAAACGCATTACTGCTTCACGGCAGAAATAGGCAGGGCGGTGGTACTTACCCGTGTGGACTCACAAGCGATCCTACAACCGGTAATTAATTACGCAAATCATAATTTTGCGGGTTTGATTTTTTATAACACGATGTTAAGCCGTGGATGTTAATCGTGAACATTCGTTAAGTACGTATTTCATTAGAAATAACGGTACCCGCCTGCGGGATTCGGACACCGGTGCATCGCTAGATACGAATGCACNGCGGTGGTACTTACCCGTGTGGACTCACAAGCGATCCTACAACCGGTAATTAATTACGCAAATCATAATTTTGCGGGTTTGATTTTTTATAACACGATGTTAAGCCGTGGATGTTAATCGTGAACATTCGTTAAGTACGTATTTCATTAGAAATAACGGTACCCGCCTGCGGGATTCGGACACCGGTGCATCGCTAGATACGAATGCACCGGACGTTTTATCCTTTAGGCCACGATGACTTCAAAAGTCAGGTACGCGGCCAGTCGTAATACTAAAAATCCCTACGCTACATGACAAGAAGATATGCTGTAACAGGCCTTTCATAATGTCGTATTAGAACAAAAAGAAGAAATCACGATTCCCGTTGATATTCACTGATATTTCACTGGTGGTAGGACCTCTTGGGAGTCCGCACGGGTAGGTACCACCGCCCTGCCTATTTCTGCCGTGAAGCAGTAATGCGTTTCGGTTTAAAGCCGTTTTACTAAGACCTTAGAACTCATATCTTAAGGCGGTCATTTACGTTCTAACGTTGTAGATGTCTATGGGCTCCAGTAATCACTTAACACCAGGTAGGCTGTGAGCTCGTCCATCCATCTAAGCAATAAAAAAAATAAAGAAATATATATATTCATCAGTACAGTTACAGTTAAAGTTAAAATGCCCATTTAAGCTATTTAAATAGAGAACAGTTGCATAATAATTGGATCTGTTACTTGAAACCGATAAAACTTGAACTTTTTAGAACAATAATAATGATAAAATAGTGACTTTTCTCATAGACTCGATATTATTCACACGGTTTCTGAGTGGCCTTAATTCACTTTACGATAATGATTTCCCGTGTTGACGCAGCGACGTTTGCTGGTTTTAAGATGACTTCAAAAAGGGTTGGTTTCTCGATTTGATTGTATTTTTGGGTGTATTACCAAACTTTTTTCTAGGTGAACCGATTTAAATGATTAAGTATCTCTTTTGTTTGGAACCTGGTATTTCTCGTGTGCTCCCATTTAAATTTCATCTAGATCCGACCAGTCGTTTTTGGGTTTATTTAATAATCTTTGTGGTCACCGTTCTCGTCGAACTAACCCATAGTTTCTAGGCCGGGCTTGGGCGGATAACCCATTGTCTATCATGTCTGCAGATATATTTCGAGTTGCCTCAAACTTTCACGTCTAACTTCCTTAAACACGTGATCGCTTACTATATCTGTGACGGTATGCCTTTATGACGCTAACAACGGCTCGAAGTATTGCGAACTCATAAAATATGTACCCACTGAATTTATGCTAGCTATATTTGTTGCCCACCTTGTGGGAGGCCTACCCACGCTACGTCTTCCAGTACGCGGTCGCCACTCAAGAACCTTCTGGCCCCAACGAGGTTCGCGGGGATCCGCTGGATGCAGGCAGCGCAGGACCGGTCTTTGTGGCGAGGCTTGGGGGAGGCCTAAGTCCAGCAGTGGACGTCCATGGGCTGATTGAATAGAATAGAAATATTTGTTGCCCTTTAGCCTACTGAGTTTCTCGCTGGATCTTCTCAGTGGATCGCGATTCCGATCCGGTGGTAGATTCTGCGAAGCACTGCTCTTGCTAGGGCCAGTGTTAGCCAACTCTCAGGTTAAGCCCGTGAGCTCACTTACCCGTCCGGGCGTAGCTGGAATAGCCTCTTATACGAACCAAGCTTAACTATCGACCAGGTAGGCAAAAAGTGCATTTTTAATTGATTTAGGCTATATTTATGATATCTCTTCTATTTTTTTTATTTTTTTTTATTGCCCTTGTAGACAGACGTCCATACGGCCCACCTGATGGTGAGTGGTTACCGTCGCCCATGGACGTCAGCAATGCCAGGGGCACAGCCAAACCGCTGCCCGCTTTAGTACTCTCCACAAGTCTCGTTTGAAGAAGGACATGTCATAGCACTCAGGATTGGGACGTTATTATCAGCGAAATTGTAAGCAGTTACGTTTTTAATATAGACCTTAAATATCGCAGCATCCTCAGCCGTGCCCAGCTTGAGGCATGAGGTCGAAATTTCAAATATTGTATTGCAGATGTCTTTCAAACCGTAATGCATCTTATGCCACGACCACCAATCACGTAAATTTATAAACTTTGCAGGCTTTTTGTGGGTGGACGAGCTCACAGCCCACCTGGTGTTAAGCGGTTACTGGAGCCCATAGACATCTACAACGGAAATGCGCCACCCACCTTAAGATATAAGTTCTAAGCTCTCAGTATAGTATAACGGCTGCCCCACCCTTCAAACCGAAACGCATTACTGCTTCATGGCAGAAATAGGCAGGGCGGTGGTACCTACCCGCGCGGACTTACAAGAGGTCCTACCACCAGTAATTACGCAAATTATAATTTTGCGGGTTTGATTTTTCTTACACGATTTTATTCCTTGACCGTGGAAGTCAATCGTGAACATTTGTCAAGTACGTAATTCATTCGAAAAATTGGTACCCGCCTGCGGGATTCGAACACGGCTGCATCGCTACATACGAATGCACCGGACGTCTTATCCTTTAGGCCGCGACGACATCAATGCTAAACTATTTAGTAGACTAAATTAAATGAAACAAACGCAAATTAAAATCCAGAGAGACATTTCGCTCGTCAATATTTATTTTTATTCTTTATACACAATTCCGTTCTCTTACGCGCACCTAATATATTGTATTTTACATTAAACTGTACAATCAATTATTACCGAGAATAAATACATTGATTTTTATTATGCAACCTTTGAAGGGATTTCATATATTAAGTTTTACCTTATCAAGGTATAACGTATCGATAAAAAATAACAATATTACGAAAAATTTCATGTAGCTATTTAGAAAGAGACAAAGGCTGATTTTGTAGAGCGTCATCTCTTTTGTTTGTGCGCGTGTGACGTTTTGTTAATGAATCGTGAATCAAACGACAAAGATGGCGCTCTACAACAATGAATAGATTGGTTCCGTTTGTCTCTCTCATACTAGAGTTGAATATGAGTAAGTTATTGGCGGGAATTCTATATACGTAAGCCATTAAATCCGTCAAAAGTTCTGTTAAACTTAAGATATATTGCATTTTGTTTATTTCATAAATACAAATGGTTAGTAGTTAAATAAAAACATTTTGTATGTATTTTAATTTTTTTTTAATTATTTTATTTTGGCAGTACACATATTAACTGTTTTTTTTTAAGTTTACTCCCTACTTTCTGAAATACGTGTAGGAAAGACTTATTGCACACAATTATTTACAACAAATTAATTACACTTACAATTCCTTTTTTTAATGTCTTTTTAACAAAGTCGATTGGATCTTTGTCAAGAAATTCCATTGCAAAAACATGTCATTGATTTTCGAAGAAATGCGGCTAATTTTGACTGAAAGGCGCCATAGTGCAACAATTCCAACAATAAAAAAAAAAGCGTGCACCGCTATTTATCCATATATAGTAAGTAGTACATAAGGAAAGGTATAGAAAGTATAAAATAAATGCTTTATGGAATCTTAATAAAAACTATAAGGTAGAGCACCAGTGAAAATAAAAAAAAAGATAAAACACACGCATACAATTAGATAATAGTTTAAATCCCGAACAATGATTGGTTGATTGTATTCCAAAAATAAAAATTAAATTAAAATTTTATCATTTTGTTTATGTTACAGACAGACATTGCTATCGTTTTTTTTTGTTTGGCTTTCAATTAAGAAAACAGGTGTTATATGTAAAATATAGGTTTTTTTCTTGAATACATTAATGTAGTATTTTGATTGTAGTTTATTTAAACATGGTTTATATGAGAAGACACGAAGCATTGAAGGCATCGTCGCAGTAATCTTTATGCATTAGTTAATGTACCGCATTTAAAATATTATCTATTTCAGTACATCCAAAATATTAATGTTCATTAATTGAACGAAACTTATAGCTATTATAAACACATTGCACGAGGATCGCACATTACGTGGCATTAAAACTTTCGAGATTGCTTTTTTTTTTTTGTTTAGTTCATCTAGAGAAACAGAGAAAATTTTATAAAATTATCTTTCGTAAAAAACATCCGTCTCTTAAAAACCTAAACATTTACATTAATAGAACATTTTATGTACACTTCATTAAATATTAAATCTATCCTAAATATATGTTTGTTTTTTTTTTTACAGAGGAACAAAATAACTTTAACTAATTAACNTATATGTTTGTTTTTTTTTTTACAGAGGAACAAAATAACTTTAACTAATTAACGCTAATGCCCCGTCACTTGAAAGTCACTGTTTCATCTCCTGGATTGAACACGAGTCCTGACTTCGCGTGTTGAGGAGATTGTCGATGGTCAACGACTTGTGGACTTGTTTCTGCGTCTCGATGGTGCTGGTGGCCACTTCGAAGCATTCTTCGGTCGTTTTGGGCGCGTAGAACGCTGACAGGGGATCGAATGTGGGGCAGGGGTCGGCTCTCTCGCTTGATCTGCCGCGGGCGAAGTAGTCCGTTTCAGCGGCCTCTTGGAACTCGCTCGAGGACGTGACGGCGTCCTCGGGCTGAGCCTCGCGCTGGTACCGCTGGAACGGGTCGAACCTCTGGGTCGGCAGGTACGGCGAGAAGCCGTAGGGCGTGGATCAGGCCGCCGCCAGCTGCCTCCACATCGTATGTCACATGGTCGCCATGTATGGCCATGAGAACGTGTTACCGGAGAGCAGCATGTCGCGGATTAGCGTTTCTATGGGCGTCTTCCCAACTAGCCTCACGAAAAAGAGCTGTTCTATCACTTGGGAGCTGACGGTCCGTAACGAGGGTAGCCGGAGGAGAAGCTTCCCGAACCTCGTGGGCTGGTTCGGGTACTGGGTCCTGCAGTATTCTTCGAGGGCGCACTGAGATTTTTCTTGAAGGCTCTCTATGTGCGTCACGTCTGATAAGCCACACGCATCTGAGAAAAAGAAAAAGAAAATCTTAACCATTTTATACAGGCATTCGTTTATATTAAAATCTATTTTTAAAGGCTATTGTTAAGGATCATTAAGCTCATAAAGAGCAATAATAAAAAAAAAANACTGGGTCCTGCAGTATTCTTCGAGGGCGCACTGAGATTTTTCTTGAAGGCTCTCTATGTGCGTCACGTCTGATAAGCCACACGCATCTGAGAAAAAGAAAAAGAAAATCTTAACCATTTTATACAGGCATTCGTTTATATTAAAATCTATTTTTAAAGGCTATTGTTAAGGATCATTAAGCTCATAAAGAGCAATAATAAAAAAAAAACATCCCCTTTTTAACTAAAGGTAATAATGGGAGCGAAGACATTAAAAATCAGTTTAATGTTATAGAAAAAATGTTTGCTACATTTAACAGGTAAATGTTTATTATTTATTATGTTTATTGCTTGTCAAACCCGATTTCCTGGCCGATATTTGACACTCCGCTTTGCCAACGTGAAGATTTCTTGAAATTTTCATCGAAATCCAGCTGGTTTGGAGTCTATAGGTGTAATATATCTACATACATAAGTACACCGAACGATCTGTAGATATTATTTGAAACTCTTGTTATAGCTTCCACGTTTTTTTGTATCGCTTAGATTTATTTATATTACCGAAGCCCATATACATAAAAAATATACTTACTGGTGGTAGGACCTCTTGTGAGTCCGCGCGGGCGGTTACCACCACCCTGCCTATTTCTGCCGTGAAGCAGTAATGCGTTTCGCTTAGAAGGGTGGGGCAGCCGTTGTAACTAAAAACATGAGACCTTAGAACTCATGTCTCAAGGTGAGTGGCGCATTTACGTTGTAGATGTCTATGGCCTCCAGTAACCACTTAAAACCAGGTGGGCTGTGAGGTCGTCCACCCATCTATTCAATAAAAATAGAAAATAAAATACGGGAGGGAGGTTCGAAGTATACAAAATTCAAAAGCAATTTGATTGTTTCCGCGGTTGACAATGTCTCGTGAGCCTCATTTGGATGTTTAACTAATTGATCATAATGTTTTCAGTGTTTATATCAGAAAAGAATCGGCTGACGTTTTTTTTTATCTAGCATTGTGTCGAAATAATGTTCAGCACTTTACCGCAGGAGCTAATTAGCACCTCAGTGTCAAGTGTTGGTCCTAATAACACGTTTTATTGGCGAAGGCTTTCGATTGAATAGCATTTTTATAGCCCTCGAGTTATGGCTTTATTTTGTTTGATTAACGTTTATGGAATGATGGTCAATAAACATAAAATTTTGTTATTGGTTTCTGAAATATTACGTAAACCAAACAACGTATGATGGTGGTAGGGTTCTGTGTAGAAGCCCGCCCGGGTTGGTACCACCGTCCTGTCTATTTCTGCCGCAAAACAGTAATACTGTGTTCCGGTCTGAAGGACAGGATAGCCGGTGTAACATACATAAGGCTGCCCATCCAGGCCAGGATAGGCAGCGCATCTGAGTCACTGATGTAGTTTGGATGTCTATGGGCTACGCTTATCATTTCCCATCAGATGAGCCGTAAGCTCGTCTGCCTATCGAAAGAAAAAAAAAAATAAAAAAAAAACGGTTCGTTTCGTTTTTGATATTTGATTGCTTATTATTCTATCAGTATCAAGACTTGTCTTGATTAATTCGAGTTGTTAGTTTGAGATTTTTTTTTTGTATTTTTAAAGTTGATTTTTGTTTTAAGTCATACTCGGTCTTTTAATCTCAAACTAAGTTCCCGCGGACTACGAAAACCAGATGTGGTTATTACATACTTAAATGCGCTCAAATATATTCATGTACTTACATCACACAAATGTTTCCAGGTAATAGGGTTTGGTACTACGATTCTGAGTTATTTAATCAGTGGGCTAACTACTTTACTACAGAACATTATAATAAAAACTATAATCATCTTCGTAATTTCTTTCAAATTTATTCATTGATCACCGGCATCACGTATGGAAATGGTTTCTTACATTCGGTGATATGTTAAGGTGGAAATCTTTGAGTTATAATTTGCATACTTACATATTTAAAAAAATCAGTGTTAATAATTACGTGTTAATAAAGTTTATTTATTTATTGCTTAGATGGATGAATGAGCTTACAACCCACCTGGTGTTAAGTGGTTACTGGAGCCCATAGACATCTACAACGTAAATGCTGCCACCCACCTTGAGATATAAGTTCTAAGGTCTCAGTATAGTTACAACGGCTGCCCCACCCTTTAACCTGAAACGCATTACTGTTTCACAGCAGAAATAGGCAGAGCGGTGGTACCTACCCACGCGGACTCACAAGAGGTCCTACCATCAGTAAAATCAACTTAGAATAGAACAGAAGTATCGGTGTAGCGAAAACAGTATCAATTATTTTATATTAATAATTTAAAATAGAATAGATCACAGGAGTATTGGTGTAACCGCGCTGTCTTGTAATAACTCAATTGTTGTCGATAAAGAGGATCGAAGCAAAGAAAAGGGGAAAAAAAATTGAAAAAAAAATTTACCATCTCGGCCATCCAAGATAGTGTTAGGACATGTAACATAAACGACACGACCGCAACGGAAATACAAATTAACTGTCTCAGCATTCGGTTTACAAAACATATACGTACAGACATCCTTTCCCATACAAATTAGTTTAATTGAACAGTTTTCAACATTGTTTACCGTGTTGTGCTTAGTGCGAGTTTTTTAACGTTCTCGATAGCGTAAAAGTTAACGCAAATTTTTATGCAGTTGGAACAGCGCCCCCAGCGGCAAACGTAGGAAAACGATTCCATTCCATACAAATATGAGTTAACTTTTACGCTATCGAGAACGTTAAAAAACTCGCACTAAACACACTGGTTCGTGATTTTACGTACTAGCATATCTACAAATCGATCAAACCAAAAGAGGGACACAAACAACTGTTCATCCCGGGCTATATATGAGTACGCGTCTCATTATTTTTTAATAACAAATTTAATGCGAGCGAAACCACGGCGAACGCTTAGCGAGTAAAACATTCTACGTAAGCCTTTATGTACCTAAGTACCTAAATGTACGTTAGTTTTTAAACTATTGCATAGCTTTTATCGCGGGGTTTGAGCGCAGCGACCGAATCAAGAAATTCCGTAACGAAAATAAAACCTAACACCCCCCACTCCGCCTGCCATGTAGCTAGTGTTCAACACATTCACACTCACACTGTCGTCGTACTGCATGCGCATCAAGAAAAGTCTGCCCATCTCTCTCTCGCGCGGTCTAGCTTATAAGTGTGAAGGGGACAGTTAATGTTTTGTTAATGTTTATAAATATAGCGTGGTCTTATTTTATTATTGTTTTAATATTAAATTATTATTGTCCAAATATAATTGCATAGGTTGATAAAAAATGCTATGCAATAGCTTTACCGCGGCAGTCCCCGAGTGCCACACGAGTTTTCTTTTTGTTATTGTCAAAAAACGCAACATCTACAAAACGGTCTGGGTCCAATTCGAAAACATCGTAGCACGCATCAATTATACGTTTGATCAAGCAGCTGTCGCCGTTTAGTGGACTCCCGTACAATTAGTACAAGTGATCACAATTACTCGAGCCGGCCTGGATTGCGTCACCGGCCCAACAACCAGCTTACTTATGAATTAAAATTGATATGAATGTGAACGGACGAATGGAATGGCTGTACTATGTACCGTACTTTGATTATGTGCAATAAACAGAGCCACATTGGAACCAGTTAACGTTCGAATCTAGAGTTTTGTAATAAAATAATGTAGGATTTTACAGGTTGAAACTGTACGAACAAGTCCGTGTGTATTGTCATTGGGTTATTGTGATGGTAAATGGATACGTGTTATATAAAAATGAATTGCTGTTCGTTAGTCTCGCTAAAACTCGAGAACGGCTGGACCGATTTGGCTAATTTTGGTCTTGAATTATTCGTGGAAGTCCAGGGAAGGTTTAAAAGGTTTAAGAAAAAATATAAAAAAGCTCGGAATTATATAAACAAACAATTTTGTTTTTCCTTTGATGTGTCCCCTTGATGTGTCTTTAATTTATTGATTGAGGCACTACGAAGTCTGCCGGGTCAGCTAGTCGTGTAATAAAAATCAAACCCGCGCAAATTATAATTTGCGTAATTACTGGTGGCAGGACATTATGTGAGTCCGTACGGGTAGGTACCACCACTCTGCCTATTTCTGCCGCGAAGCAGTAATGCACTTCGGTTTGAAGGGTGGGGCAGCCGTTGTGCTGTTAAAAACTGAGGCCTTACAACTCATGTCTCGCTTACGTCGTAGATGTCTCTGGGCTCCGGTTCCTATTTAAAACCAGGTGGGCCGTGAGCTCGTCCAAATATAATAATAATAATATATTAATATATTATAAGTACCAGCCGGACGCCGTACTCGAAAACGACCGCGCCAAGCTCTATTGGGACCGGCCCATCATCACGGACAGGACTATTCTTGCGAATAAGCCTGATATCGTGCTGATGGACCGGACGGAGTCTCGGGTATTTCTGGTGGATATCACCATTCCCTACGACAAGAACCTTGTGCGCGCCGAGGCAAATAAAAAGACCAAATATCTGGACCTGGCGCACGAGGTGACCGATATGTGGAGAGTGGTATCTACAGAAATAATCCCAGTAGTTGTATCGGCGAATGGTTTGGTCCCTAAAAGCCTCTCAAAACATCTCGAGAGGCTTGGCCTCAACAAAAAGTCGGTGGTGGCCCAAATGCAAAAAGCAGTCTTGCTGGACAATGCCCGTATAGTTCGTCGGTTTCTCGCCCAATAGTCCTTCACGCTCCGGCCGATTGTTGCCCACCTCGCCGGAGTGGGTCCTGCCGTCTTCTCAGGCGAGGCAGTGTTTAATATAATAATAATATTCGCGTATATGACAGGTATTTAGCTTTCAAGTCAACAACGACGAATGAAAGGCGATAGAAAATGCGCTATTCTCAACCTATTACCTCCTGCTCAATCTAGCGCTGAATTAGGAGCTGCTTTCAATATTAGCGCTAAAACAATATTGATCCATTTGCGTTAAATTTCCAATAAATCCATCAAAGTTCAGATTTTTTTACGGTTTCAAAAAAGTAATGCATATTTTTTATTCGGAACATTGAGATATATTTAGATATTTTAGTTGTAAATCATTAGCAAACTAAACATATTAACAAGCTTTGA